TATCCCCTTTGTCAGAATACGTCCGACAAACAGAACTTCCTAGAGGCTGGAAAGTTCTCAAGTTCACCAAGTTCGCTGGTGACACTGGTGAGTCTACGATCGAACATGTCGCTAGGTATCAAATTGAGGCTGACGACATAGAAAACAATGAGAATTTGAAAATAAAGTATTTTCCCAATTCTCTAACAAAAAATGTTTTTACTTGGTTTACCACATTCCCTCCGCACAAACTTGGAGTCAATTAGAGAAAGTATCTCATGAGCAGCTCTACATGGATCAACAAAAAATAAGCCTTAATGAACTTGTTAATGTTAAGCAAAATGTGTCTAAGTCAATTGATGATTATTTGAATATGTTCAGACTTCTTAAGACAAGGTGATTTACATAAGTCCCTGAACTTGAGCTGGTTAAATGATTGCAGGAGGCTTAGATTATTTCATTCGAAAAAAATTAGACACTCAATATCTTAGGGACATGGCACAATTAGTAGATAGGGTTCGCTAGGTCGAACGCTTGAAAGTTGAGAAAGGCGGTACAAATAAATACTACAAAAAATAAAATGTGACATATGTAAATACATATGAGCATCTCTCAGATTTAGGCGACGAGTATGTTGAAGAGAGTGAGGTTAATGTTGTAGAACTTAAGCCAGAACCTTCGCACACGTGTAAATTGTTGAAACCATCAAACAAGAAGAATCTTGTCGAACCCGATAAAATGATAATTTCATCACAAAAACATACCCTTTTGATATAACTAAATATGATAAAATATTTGATTGATTGGTCGCTGATGGGCATATTATAGTGCCTCCAGACCTGAAAACTCCCCCATTATAATAAAGAAAAAAGAGATGTTTTTGTAAGTACCACAATTTTCTTGGGTCATAAAACTTCTTGGGTCATAAATGTTGCCTTAATGTTGCCACAAAGTTGGAAACATGATATGCTCATTGTTATATTTGGCACAATGTTGGCTTAAAGTTTGTCACAATGTTGGCTTAATGTTTAGCTCATTGTTATGGTGATGCCTTAACTTGGCTTAATAATTAGAAACATGTTATGAAATTACAAAGAAGGTTTACGAGCATTAATTTGGTAAGAATTGAACATATTATTGGCTTAATTTCATACATTGATCATAATATGATTCTGACAATACACAAAAAACTTATAGTTCCAACATAAATACAACCCAATTAAAGTCTAAGCTACTTAGAGTACACAAAATTCCTAATGATGATATATTATACTTAGAGTACAAACTACCGATACATAACTTAGAGTACACAAAATGTCAAAGTAGATAATTCATAACAGAAAAATTTGTCAAGATAATTCATGAAAGATCTTCATTTTCTCTTGCATCAATGAGACAAACCTTTTTGAATTTCCTTCAAACTCTTCATTCTCTTAGTACTGGCACCAACTAGTTATTCTTCTTCGGGAATTACAAGTGGATCTTCAGCATTCTTACTAGGTCCTACAAAGTTTCATGTCTTGATTGTCATAAGTACATCACTCTGTCTTTTCTTGAAATGTAATGTGATTGACCTTTTTCCTTTTTGACATCATGATTTTAAACTACATTGATAACATAATTTTAGCATAATTTACAAATAAATGAAAATAAGTATAACACAATAATGACCATAATATAACTTACAGAATCACTGATACTTGACTTGTAAGTAGTTTCTTTGACAAGATCTGGTTGTATGAATGCAGTAGACATATAAGACTTAGATATTCTGGGTCTTACATCAATGAAGGTTTGACACCACTTGACGTTGGCTTGATATGAGTAGTCTTCATCATTCAATAATGAAGCTAAGGTTTCAGGGTCTATCTAAAATAACTTTTTCAATTGAATATTCTACTTAACAGATGCTTGAGTTTCAGGTTCAGATACATGAGTTGTAGATTTAGTTACAAGTGGCTTAAGTTCAGGTACATGATTTGAAAGTGGCTCAAGTTTAGGTACATGAGTTATAGGTGGGTCAGGGGCCTGTGTTACAGGTGGGTCAGGTTAAGGTACCTGAGTTGCAGGTGGGCTAGAGGCCTGCGATGCAGATGCCTGACGCTTTTTCTTTGACAATTTTGTAGATTTCTTCTTTGGTCCACCCTTGTTCACACTACCTTTGGGCCTCCCATATTGAAAAAATCCAAGACATTTAACATACACATGCATGTTTTAGTAAATAAATTTCAGGCATAAAAGACATAACACTAACTAGTTTCTTTGGTAATTTTTTGACAGATGGAGCCTGGCTTGCTTGTGTTATTGGCTCGATAATAATTGTTTCATTTTCCCTGGAATAATTGCAAGTGGTTTATCCTTATTGCATATTCTACTATTGCGCACATATTCCAAACACTTCTTGCACTTATGACTTGTATTAATTCTTTTCCATTTGGTTTGGTTTGCCTCATTTGGTTCCCTTCTACGTAGTTTCTTTAGTATTTCATGTAAGTAGACCTATGATAACACTTATATACATACTTTATTGGATCATCAACCTTTCTATGTATTGCAGCAACACCATGTCTACATGGGATCCTAACTAAGTCCTAAATTTCACATGAACAAATGTGTTTTTCCAAGTTTACAACAACACTATCAGTGAACAATACATGTGTTACATGAAATGTTAATCTCCATGCATATGTTGCAGACCAAGTTGCCCTTTTTCTATCTCTCTATCTAATCTCCTAAGTGGCTTAGACATTATCTCCCCCTTGTATTTTTCTAGCTTTTCCTTAAGTATGGCAAACTTACCCATAAGGTAATTCATCATCCACTCAAACATTGCGATAATAGATTTGTCCCTATGTAGTAATATAATGGCATTAAATGATTCACTAAGATTGATCATTAGAAATCACACTTAGAGTAAAATGGAAATGCATTCTTACACCATCTTTGCTTGGGAACAACATTTAACCATTCAAAATCATGTAAATTCACCTCCTTAATTTCCATAATCTTAGCTTCATGTGCTTTATAGTAGATTGCCTTTGCTGCAGTCATCATTAGATCTCTAAACAATGTACCACCTCCAAATTTCTTCTTGAAGTTAGCATACAAATGCCTAAGACAAAATTTATGTTCATATCTAGTGTATTTCTCTTTAAAAACTTGCACAAGTCCCTATATAAATAACACGTTTTTTTAGCAAACCTAAATGAAAAATGAAATTATAAACATTGACTATTAGGCCATACCTTTTTTTGACCAAAAATGAATCACCACCTATTATCACCAATATCTTCAAGAAGTAACTTAATAGATTATCTCCAAGAGCCTTTGGTTTCATTCTCTACAACCCCAAAATCAATAAGAAAATACTTATCATTAGGAACCCTTTCAACAATCAATCAACAATGAACCGCAATGTGGGTGAATAATTGGAGAGAGAGAGAGAGAGAGATTCCATTCCAACTTTGAATGTGAAATTCTTTGTCATTGGTTCTTCTTCATTAAAAATAATCAATATAGGTTTGTCCTCACAACTATTTTCACTTGTCCTACTATCAAACTTATCAATCATGTAATCTTCTTCTATGACATGTTCTTTTTCCATATCTTCTACGGGAAAACAAAAATTGGGTAGTTCACTTATGGCAGCACCATCAACATCATCCCTCCCATTATCACCTTCATTCAACCATTCTTCAAACCCTTCATCAAAGTCTTCATCAAAATCATGCTTTCTCTCTTCTTCACTGTCTTCAAAGTGTATACCATTGATAGTTTCATCACTTGATTCACTTCACTGATCGTCATTCTCGTCATCCTCAACACATTGATGCCCCTTATTTTTGTCTTTTAACCTTTCCATATATGTCAACTCACCTATAGATGGTTTGACCTCAATATAAATTTCAAATTCACACTGATTCTTCTCAGCAAGCAATGATAACAATGTTGCATCCTTATCATTTCTAAAGGATTTGAGATCTTTTTCAAAACCACCATCTTCATGTTTCCACCACATTTTCACACCATAAACATTAAACTCTAAATCTACAACCTTAATTAGATCACGGGCTTCAAAGAAGAACCAATAATCATTGTCTTAGTCATTTTATGCATACATATCCACACCTTCATATCTTAACTTATGATCTTTTACAAAACAATCTTTAGTGTAAAATAACACCTTAAATAAGTCTATTTTATATAAATTACACATATGGTAAGGGTACATTTGGTAATAATGTCACTTAACTACAAAAGTTCAATAAAAAAATTATCAATTAAGAATTAAATATTCAATCAATATGTAACTACCATAAAGCAATTTCGGTCAAATACAAACTATCGTCAATGTTACGTTATTATATTCCATTGTTTTAATATTTCAATTCATAAACTCTAGAAACTGTGGGACATAGCAATTCCAAAAAACAAAAAAGAGAAAGAACAACTCTTTAAAAACAAAAACGAGAAAGAGACATGTGGGACAAACCTGTCTAAAACACACCAAACGAAACACTAAGGATCACAACTTTCAATAACCGACCAACTTCAAAGATCAAACCAACCTTCATACACAACAATTAACTTTATATTAACTTTCATTAATGAGAACGAAATCTATCAAACATGAAACCCGAATTGAAAAACCTAAAATTTTAGAGACACATTTGTAAATAATTTTAACATTTGCATTAAACTCCAAAAAAAATCATAAGTGACATGCATTTTAACAAATATTAGCCATTTGTACTGCATGTCACCTTCCATTTGCCAAATCTAACATCACAGACCAAAAAATATGAAGGCAAATATTAAAAAAATGCGAACAACAAATATTAAAATGATTATTCTTTGAAGAAATTTTTTGGAGTGAGGGAAACTAAAATGACATCTAATCCAATATTAAAATAGAGGTTTAAATAATTGTAAACTACATATGGGTCGGGTCGATATCCATAAATGGTTCTGAGCACCAAACAAGACGCCTGTGGGTTGTGAAGAAAGCGAGAGACACAACCATGGCTGTTAGGCAGAGAGCAGTAACAACGCTTCCAAACCTCATACGCAATCTCCGCAACGAACAACCTTTCAAGCTCAAGCCTCCTCACAATCCCTTGCCCTCTCTCCGACGCGCTTTCTCTCTCTACGATCAGATCAATCTCATTGACAATGTCCCCGAAGACCAACTCCGATTCCAAGGGTACTCTCTCCCTTTCATTCTACATAATAATTTTGATTTTTCTCTCTATTTTTTAGTTAGTTTTCATATGGGGTTTCAAGGAAGAGACTTGAATGTGAAATGGGTTATTTTTATTTATTTTTTTAAATGTGAATTGTATTTTGAAAATAAAATAAAATAAAATTGCAGGTTTAATGATACTGGGTTTACTGTAAATGGTGTTGAGTATGAAGGAAGTTTACTTTGTGTTGGAAATTTGATCATGTCTTGGAAACCACAGAAATTTTCAGAGATCACTGCTGATAGGTTTGTTTCTTCCCTTTCTTATGCTTTATTGCTCTTGGGTTTTCTTTGACTATGTATTTTTGCATTGTTCTATTGCTTCAGTCTATGTGATTGCTTTTCTTTTCTCTCACAAATCACAATTCATTTTCCCATATAAAATGTAGTATTTGTAGGACCGATTGTTTCTTTAATGTTTGAACAACAATACTACTACTACTTTCAAATTGTATCGAATGCTATACTTCATGTGTTCATTACATTTTTTATCTATGTCATAGATAGAGTCAACTGAGTTTTACTTTGGCCGTCGACAGACTAACACAATTCTCTCTTTTTTATCGGGGATTGGGACTGTTTATGCATACAAGGATAACATAGGAAGGATCAGTGCTTAATGTGATCATTATCTTTCTTTATTTTGTATATCATCATCGGTTTGAGAATGAACAAGCGAAATGGATGATACCAATACAACAACAATCAAGCCTTTTTCCGGTAGATGGAGTCTTCCACATGAATAGGTTGACGCCATAAAGTTTTGTAATATAGTAAGTGTTAAAAGTAAACTGTAAGCCTCTTAGTCTCTCTTAATAGTTTGACCTATAGTTAGTCTCCTTCACCTCGAACAATTGGACTACGTCAATTTGGTATACTCCTCTTATTGGTACTTGTATGGGGTACTTTTCATGTATATCCAAAGAACATAAAATGGGACTCTACTGTCTTCTCTACTGCGTGGCTATCCCCATTTCCCGTCAAATGATTGTGTTTCTAATCCTATTTTATAATTGTGTAACCACACATGTATCCATTGTAGTAGTATTCTTATATCTATGATGCTAATTTTACCAAGAGAAATGTTTCAAATGGATGATCTCTGGTAAATAAAAATAAATCATTTGATTGGTCAGTCCCTCCGATAAACGGGATGAAACCATCTTTGTGTGATAATCACCAAACATGCAACGAAACAACAAGAAGTGAGTGCATCATAGGTCATAACAATCTAGTTGCACTAGTTCCAAATATGCTTGTATAATCTTGCTTTGATATCTTATTTGTTGTCATATTTTTTCTTGTTACAGCTTGTCACTCTTTCAAATTGTCCGCCCTATTCCAGGTTGGTTTTTTTCAGTCTTGCTATTCTTTCTTTACATTGACTTTCTGGTTTTCACTTTTTATGGGAGCAATTCTTTGTTTCCTTTCATTTTTCCTATCAGGATGCTTTGTGGAGACACTTGATAACATGTTCTTTTATGTATAGATAACAAATTACTTAATTCATGGTTTGCTTTCTAGCTCACTTGATAAGTAGTTTACACTAATGATCCCTATACACATACTTGTAGTTTCTAAGTGTTAGGTTGGGACCTTAAAGCTGACAAGCATCCCATCGTCTCGTTTATTTGAAACAACATGATTCCACTTTTTCATGAACTCGTTCAATTCTCTTTTCTACTGTTCTCTCTCCCTTGGATTTAGTGTCCCTTTTAGCCAAAAATTTATAATTAATTACAAGAACTTTCTTTTTGCTCATTATGGTACTAAATTAATGTTATTTATCACCTATCAAATTGCTTTTGATCTATATTAACTGAAACTTGGAGGAATTATTTGCCAGAGATTCTGATTGTTGGCTGTGGAAGGAACATTCAACATGTTGATCCTGAACTTAGACGGTTTATCCGATCTACTGGCATGAAGTTAGAAGCTGTTGACTCGGTATACATGATTGCTTTATTTTATAAGATATGTGTTTTACTTCACCTTACATTGTTGGTGCATAACTGCTTAATAAAATAATCTAGACTAAATGAGTACATGAATCCTCAGAACATCAGTATAGATGAGAAATGAGAACCACTTAACTTGTTTGATAAGGAACTTTAAAATGATGGAGGTGACCGGAGTTTATATATTTCCTCTAATACTACCCTGATCTCAATTATAAGCAAAAGTTTGTCAAAAATAAATTATTCTATTTAGTCCAAAATTTAGACCAAATACCACAACTTGTTTTCACCAATTCTTGCTTATATTTGAGACCAAAGGGAGTACCAGTCCGTGTCTGAAATTTGGGTTGATAAGGTGATTTCAAATGGTGAGAAAATGAATGCTCAACATAGACCACAAGAGAATTCAAGCATGGTTGTACTAATACTAATAGCTAGGAAGTAGTATAATTTGATATGGTATAGCAGTCGATCCTAGATAGCGGCGCGGACTGGCCAACCCCAATAATGGATAGCGTATAGCGGGATGGCCGCTATTTGATCAATTTTTGTACAAGTTACATGGATAATAATTATAAACATATGAAGTGCAGAGAGAAGAACGAAGTGCAGAGAGAGGTGAGGGAGGAACTTGTGATTTTTCTTTGGCACTACTTAAGGGGTAATTTAAGTTTTTCAAAGGGGAAAAGGATAGCGGGACAGAAACCGCTCCGCCACTTCTACCCGCTATTTGCCTATAGCAGCCACTATAGTGTTCTTCATCGCAAAGGCTCATCCCATAGCGGCCGGCCTCCTCTCTGTTGACTACTTTAATGTAAAATTATTTCATAACATCATTCAATTATATTTTGCCTCATCATTGAAAGAGTAGTATTATATTTTTATTCTCTATGAATTTTCGAAGTTACCTTATTTAATTATTTATCATCCATTATTTACAGAGAAACGCGGCATCAACGTACAACATACTGAATGAAGAAGGTCGAATTGTGGCTGCTGCTCTTCTTCCATATGGAGTTTCTTCATGAAGCTTGGACTGATATTCTTAGTACCTATCCCTCGCTCCAAATATGCTCACATTCGTCAGCACTAAAATCTTGCATAAATCTGCATGATGATATGCTTTGTTTTTCTATGTAGAAAGTTTTGACATTGATCGGACACTGAGTGAATCACATGTGACTGTGTTGATTCTGTTTCTAATGTAATAATATAACAATAAGGATAATTATAATGTATAGAATTGAAGGTCTGACATATCCTTCCGCCTCATGTTATAATGTTTCTTCATTTTGTTAAAGTTTGACTAGTGAAGATAGTGAACCATTTCTATTGCTCTCCTCATAGCTATGCAGGCTTGTGTATTCAGATGGTTTTTCCTTAACCTCTTCTACAGTTAGGGTATCATAGACCAATGAGCTATTGTTATTTGTGGCTTGACACTTATGGATGAAGTTAATTAGGAAGTCATTAATAGGTTTGCGGGATAATTGATTATTTTATTCACTTGATATTAGGGCTGGAAATGAGTCGAATCGAGTTGAACTCGTCTCAGTTCGGCTCGACTCGTTAAAAATTGGTTCAGTTCAAATTTCGGTTCGAGTTCGACATGAATTTTATTTTAAACTTAAATTCGACTTGTTATAAGTTTACGAACAATTCGGTTCAACTCTTTAGGTTCATTTCATTAGGTTCAGTTCATTTGGTTCACGGACTTAAAAACCATTTTTTCAAGTTTATTTTTTTATACATATTTGACATTTTAAATTAATATTTTTTTAAAATAAAATATTAAAGTAAAATAAAAGTTATCGAATTAGAATTTAACTTTGTCTCAAAAATCTAGTGATTCAAAAACTACACAATTTTCAAAAAATACATTTGAAAGTTTAATTCAAAAAGAAATTGATACATTTTTATTACATAATAATTACACCATTTATAATATTCATTACTCATGTTATTTTAGCAAATGTCATTATGCCTTCAACAACGATGACTCTAAATACAAATACAATTGCCATAACTAGTACGAAAGAAACAAATTTAGGATTAAGATTTAGAGTAAATCTTTAAACCTACTTTTAAAAACAAGTTGACTCACGAACTTAACAATTTAACTTAATTTTTCGCTCATATTCGACTCAAATGTAAGAAATATTTCACTGAAATAAACCCTACTAAAGGTGTAATAAATACAATCTCAGGTCCTGCAGATTCGATTGAAGGAACCGGTAATTCTATGTTCATATTATCAAATGGAACAAAATTTGTCATTAATAATGCTTTATACTCTCTAAAATCAAAGAGAAATTTGTTGAGTTTTAATAACATATATCGTCAAGGATATGATACTGAAACTAAAGGTAATATGAAATATATTAACATTACTACTAATGTTTTGGGAAAGAATAAAATTTTAGAAAAACTACCAAAATTGCCTTCTGGATTACATTATACTTATATACATGCAATTGAATATAATTTAGTAGTAAAAATGATGACTTTATGACATGATCATTTAGGTCACCCTGGTTCAACAATGATGCGTAAAATAGTTGAAAGTAACCATGATCATCCATTGAAAGGTTTAAAACTTACCGGGCAGGCCCAGCCCAATGGTATTCTGTCAAACCCAATCCACCTTGGGCCATAGCCGTCGAGCACAGATTTTTCGCCGGACAGGCAATGACCCCTCCACGGGCAAAACCTTCTCCCTTGTCGAGCAGAACAACGTGTCCTTCGCACGTTCTCCACGTGCTCCCCTCCGCGGGGACACGTCACCAACCAACTGCCCACCTCCGAAAGAGCAGGTCAAACCCACTTTCCGGAGATCACAGGACAGTTGAACTAGGGCGAAGACCACGTTCTGGTCTTCACTACGCCACGTAAGCCCTAACAGTCACTTGGGTTGGGCCTGACCATCCAGTCCAACTCAAATGACCGTTGGCCCTACGCTGGGGTCTCTATAAATACCCTCTTTCACAAGAGGGTCAGGTATTCTCTTCTTACCCCTTTCTGTATTTGCTATCACTCTGTCCAAACTCTTACTTTGGCATCAGAGTGTCTTGCAGGTACACCCCCATCTCCTTTTCAACACCGGTGAACAGACAGCAGATTAACGGCGTGTGACAAGTCCTTGGTCCCCTTCTGATCAGGTCAAATCACTTATAAAAGAAGATAAACCGTGTGAACAGACAGCAGATTAACGGCGTGTGACAAGTCCTTGGTCCCCTTCTGATCAGGTCAAATCACTTACAAAAGGAGATAAACCGTGTGAAGTCTGCTTTCTTGGCAAGCTAATAACAAAGCATTCACAAGGTAAGATTCAGACAGAATCACCTGTATTTCTTGAAAGAATTCAAGGTGATATATGTGGGCCTACCCATCCACTGTCAGGACCATTCAATTACTTTATGGTATTAATTGATGCATCTAGTAGATGGTCATATGTATGTTTAATGTCATGTTGTGATATGACATTTGCAAAATTTCTTGCACAAATAATTAAGCTAATTGCTCAATTTCTTGATTACATTATAAAGAAAATTAGACTTGACAATACTGGTGAATTTGATTACATTATAAAGAAAATTAGACTTGACAATGCTGGTGAATTTACATCTGAATCATTTAATAATTATTGCATGTCACTTGGAATTACCGTTGAACAATCCTGTTCCTCATGTGCATACACAAAATGGTTTAGCTGAGTCTTTAATCAAACGTCTTCAATATATTGTTAGACCATTAATTATGAAAACTAAACTACCAGTTACTATTTGGGGTCATGCAATTTTACATGCTGCAACACTCATCCGTCTAAGGCCAAGTGCTAATCATAAACATACACCTTATCAACTTGCAATTTGTAAGGAACCAAATATTTCTCATTTAAAAATATTTGATTGTGTAGTACATGTTCCAATATCTCCACCACATAGAATAAAGATGGGACCTCAAAGGAGGTTGAAAATATATATGGGGTATGAATCACCTTCTATTATTATATATCTTAAACCTTTAACGGTTTATGTTTTTCAGGTATGATTTACTGATTGTCATTTTGATGAAACAAAATTTTCAACATTAGGGAGAGAAAATAAAAAATTAGAAAATGAGATAACATGGTTTGTACCTCATTTATTACATTTGAACCCATATAATAAATCATGGGAAGAAAATGTAAAGAAAATTGTGCACTTATAAGATTTAACAAATCAATTGTCATATTCTTTTACTAATTTGAAAAGAGTGACAAAATCACACTTACTAATTATAAATGCCCCAATTCGAATTGAGATTTTAAATCTAAATAATATAACAAGTACATATAAAACGCACTTGAAGCGTGACCGACCTATGTTTATAATAACTGGTTTTTCAAAAATTTTCCCCTTATTTTATATGTTATACAATTAATTTTAATTGGATGAAATTGTATTAGAATGAAATGGATAGAAATGCATTTAGTTACTACTTTTGATATATTTTGAGTGACAAGTGCGATAAAAATGAATAGAAGTATAAATATACCTAATCCGAACTCAGCGTAACGTTTACTAACGCCATCATGTCCACTCTGCTTCAATCCTCTTTCATTTCTTCTTCTACTGCCATCTCTCCGATCACTCCGCGTTTCGCTCGCATCTCCCTCCGTAACGCCGCCGTCGTAAGGAACCTTCTATCTTCACTCTCTCTCTTTCTCTCTCCGCTTTTCGTTGATTTAACTGAATGTGAATTTTCGGTTTCAGAGATGTAATAATGCCGCAGTCTCTTTGAACTCGGCGAACGGAATTCCATATCGTTCCACTGAAATTTCAGTTAGCGGTTCAACTTCCATTCCCAGTTTTCTTGTGGCGCCGAACACTCGCATCCATGATCTCGTTAACAAAAATCGTCTTCGTATATTCTCCGGTACCGCCAATCCTGCTCTAGCTCAGGTATTTATATCTATAATTCCAATTTGGTTACTCCTGTACTTCAATTTTGATTCTAGGCGAAATTTCGATATCTAACAACAAATAAAATTAAATTGAGATGCAATCTACTATGAAGCACATGATAATTTGAAATAATAGATGTGATTGAATGTAACATCATAACATGTGTGGGGGTTATATATCGTCTTCAGTATGAAGTATGGGTGCTTTAAAGGTAATAGAGGTATGAGTTTGAATTAGCTTCTAGCTTGTAAGAACTTCTTAATTTTAATCAAATAAGTTTATGGTTCTCTACCGGCGGAGAAGTCTTCATAAACTTGTAGAAGAGTTTATAAAGAAGTTGATTGAAATAGTTTTTTGAATAAATTGAGGCGTCAAAGCTAATTTCCAATTATACTTAAAAGCTATTGTTTAAAAGTTTCATAATAATTGTGAAAAAAGTCTCAGTTAACTTGAGAATGTTTCAGGGTCTGTTTTATTAATAAAAAAAAACATAATTAAACACTTATAGGTTAAAAACTTATCAGATAAGTGCTTACTTATAAACTATTTCTATACTAAAAATTAAAATATGATCAAACTGTTTTTCTGTAAGCTATAAGTTCAAGTTGTCTTTATACGTTATCTTGAAAAGCTCATCGAAAATAGCTCATGGACATGTCATTAGTTTATTTTCATAAGTTGTCTTGAAAAGCTTATCAAAAATAGCTTACGGGCATGTCATTAGTTTATTTTCATAAGCTCTCTTGAACACCCTGTCAAGTGCTCATAGCAGTAGATAAGCCCAGAAAAGCATATTTTCTTGTTATTCCAAACTGAATCATGATGGAATATGATTTTAGCTAATAAAGAATGTGTAACGAACTTGTGAATTTATATGCTTTTCTTGTTTACTAATGATATTTGTTTTTTATGTTATAACACTAGACAATATTTGTTTATTTACTAAAATTTCTGATTTGCTCTTAAATAGGAAATTGCATGCTATATGGGTCTGGATTTGGGAAAAATTAAGATAAAGCGTTTTGCCGATGGTGAGATATATGTCCAACTACAAGAGAGTGTCAGGGGGTGTGATGTGTTTC